CTCTGCAGACTGCTGTTTTGATGTCCCCATGCTACAGAGCAGGACTGTGTGTTCTCATTTAACCATTCTCATTTTTTCTTATTCTTTTCTTTTTAATCAGTTGTTGTTTAATAAATTGTATTTGCTTTGAACCTTATGAAGTGGTCACTGGGCCAAGAAGGCCTGCAGTGTAAAGAGAGCACCTCGGAGTGGGGACACCCTAACTCCTGCCCCTAGTGACTACAAGGTCAGGGATTAAGCCCCAGGAAACCTGGGCCCAGCCTTGTTGGGGTTTCAAGGGCTCTGCTACTCAGGAGAGTGGAGGGGGAGCCCTCAGGATCAGGGAGCCGTGGGGTAAAGGAAGTGGGAGCGGGGACTCAGATCCTTTCGCTGGTTCATTTCACCGGGGTGTATAGAAGCCAGGAAAGTTCCCCACAAGAGCGGGACCATTCCCCCGCTTACATAATTAATCATACGTAACTGACCAAATAGCCACATGTGGCTAGTGGCTAGCATGTTGGACACCATGACTATGGCTATTTACCCCCAAACTGTGGTACTGGCCCTTTCCAGAGGAGGTTCTCCCAAGGTGCAAGTTATTAGGGAACTGTAAGGCCTGATCAATGCTAGGCAATTAGGTACATTACTCAGGGTGTGAAAAACCCACACAGTTAATTTTCCCTAACAATGGGGGGATTCTCTCAGGGAGGTGGAGTACCTGGGCCATCTGGAGAACTAGAGTTGTTTAAAGCTTAACTGGTTAACCCAAGGCCACCCCCCTTGGCAGCCCAGCTGGTAGGAGCCCAGCTATGGCGAGGCCAAGCAGCCTGGTTGCAGCTGAGGTGGGACCAGAATAGGCATGTAAAGGACTAGTCGACTATCCGATAATGAAAAGCTTATTGGATAGTCGACAGAAGAGTCGACTGGTTGGTCCCCCCCATTGCTACCTCTATCAGATAGAGGCAGCAAGGATGGAAGAGAAGAGGGGAGATACTTAAAAGTGGCAGTGCTGCAAAAGCCTGGGGTCAGCTGCTCTGAGCAACACTGCTTTGAATGCCGCGGGGAGCCCGGCATCAGGCTCCTTGCGGAATTTCAAAGTGACAGTGCCGTATGGAGCCCAGAATCAGCTGGGGAGTTCCACTTTGAAATGCTGGGGGGAGCCGGGGATCAGCAAGAGACTCTCCAGCTGACCCTGGTCTCCACGCGGTGTGCCAGCTTTGAAATGTACAAGAATATCCAGTGTGGGCTCTTGTGCATTTCAAAGTGGAAGCACCTGGGTGGAGCCCAGAGTCAGTGGGATTTCCTGCTGGCCCTGGACTCCATGTGGCATTCCAGCTGTGAAATGCACAAGAGCCCCTACTGGGCGGAACAAGGAAGTGCATATCGAAGTTGACGGAAATTCCATCAACTACTAGACTAGCAAATTAATAGCTACTTAACATCCCTAGACCAGAACAGCCTCCACCACCTACAGCCGGTGGTTAACGGGTTAAACAAACTGTTTAGCCAGTTAACTATTCTAGGTGGTTTTTACATCCCTTCGGAGAACCTCTCCCATCAGTGTCGCTATGTCTTCACATAAGTGCTATGAGGGCGCGCTGTATCACTGCAGTTTGTCATTGTCAGCGAGCCCTGTGTATCTTTTTGTCACTATTTTGCATGTAAATATTCAAGATATTTCTTGTCCCTTACCTGACAAGAAAGTAATTGGAGGTAGGCCTGAAGCAAACTTCTGGCTCAGGACAGCCTGAGTTTTTGAGGAAGGATTTGAACTTTGCCTTTTGAGCCTGTCTGTAAGTGTCGCCTGAAGGCGTGCGTGGAAATGCCACACTGTAGAGCAAAGGTGTGGTCTAGTTTCCTATTTATTAAATTGGAGAGAGTCCAGCAGAGGGTAGCAAAAATGATAAGCAGGCTGGAGCACATGACGTATGGGGAGCAGCTGAGGGAAGTGGTCTTAGTCTTCAAGAAAGAAGAGTGAGTGGGGATTTGATAGCAGCCTTCAAATCCCTGAAGGGGGCTGGTGGTTCCAAAGAGGGTTCTCAGTGGCGGCAGATGACAGAACATGGAGTAGTGGGGCAGGGATCTAGAAAAACGATGTCACTAGAATGGTGAAGCACTTTGGAATGGATTGCCTAAGGAGCGGGTGGAATCTCCATCCTTGGAAGTTTTTAGGCCAGGCTTGACAAAGGCTTGGCTGGGATGATTTAGTTGGGGGTTGGTCCTGCTAAACTAGATGGTCTCCTGAGGTCTGTTCCAAACCTAATCTTCTATGAGTCTGTGATTTTCAGCAGAGTGAAATAGCAGCTTCTGGATTCTTAATCTAATTTCCATGAAGTTCTAGGGGCAGAAATGCAGAACCTTTCTCTCCTTTTCCTGCGTGGCGCAGCAGCGCTTCACAGACTGAAGACTAGGTCAGGCTGCATTTCTGGGGAGCCTGGCATCTCGTCCCTTTAATATTCCAAGGGCTATGGAGAAGCTTCCATGTGGATCTCTATTGAATTCTTTTGCCCCTGTTGTTCATCTGCTGCAGCTTCTAAACTGTGTACAGGTGCAAACCAGTGCTTCAGGTATCAATGAGAACTCACTGCGTTTGTGTGTTTACAATTACACACAGAGCTTTGTGAGTACATGAGTGAGCTTATTATAGATTCTGCATAATGTAGTTCTCTACTTGTCAGCGAACACACGGCTCTGTGTGTATGCAGAGGGTGGGCCAAATCCTGCAGTCCTTGCTCTGGCAGATTCCCTCTGCAGGCAGGGCCTCCTTGCTTTACTGAGAGCAGCAGACTGTCTTGTGTCTTTTGTACCACACTGTGTGTTGCTTTGCTGATAAGGAAAAGACAAGACATTTTACAAAGAGAGTCAAGTTGAAAGTGGCTGATTTCCCTCAGTGGGGTGCAGTTTTGGGAGCCTGTGTAGATCAGTGGAGATGGGTCTGAAAAATGAGAATCTACTGGCAACGCTGAAGATGAGAGTCAAGAGGTTAAGTGTTGTGGGAACCAAGGCCTGTTCCTGTTAAAGTTAATGGCATTAAAAACAGAGCTGAAGGGGCCTCTATTTTCTCATCTGGCTTGTTGTAAAGCTCCCAGCAGCTCTCTCTCCTGTGTGTGTTGCTGGCAAACCTTCTCTCCACTTCCCACTGCATTTGGATGGCTTGTTGGAGGGAACCTCAATGTGCTTTTTCTCACCATCTCCTACTATTGGTGTAGTTTGTGTCCCAGGCTTAGTGGCTGCTGTTACTCTGGAGCGGGTAGTTGCCCCGGCTGAGCTGTGCACACCAATCACCCAACTTGAGTAGGAGGCATGGAGGTGATTTCTAATGCCAGAATAAATGTGTTTCCAAAGAGCCACGGTCGAAGTGACCCTACACAGAGATGACTGACACAGAAAACAGTTACAAATAAAAATGCTGGTGAGGGACTAAAATGGAACCCGGGACACTCCTGGTCTTAGGTACTCAGGCACGTCTTTGACTGGAAATAGCCTCTGAGATAAACATGTGCAGCAAACCCTCCTGCTTCAGGACAAAAGCCAAGCACTGGCTGCCTGGGTGCGGACAAGCTTTCCTCACAGCTAGTTATTCAAGCACATGGCCAAGGGGGTTTTACACTTTCCCAGGAGGCAGCAGTTGCGGATCAGTGTGGAGACAAGCTCACTGGAACGATCCCGTGCAATTGTGCGTTCTCTGGCACAAGCACGCGGTCTCGCTCTGTGTTTGGACGGTGCCGAGAATGACAGCGTCTGAGCCTGCTCTGGAGCCTTGGTGCACTGCTGCTCTAATAGAGGACCTTTGGTCTGATCAGGTGTGGGACTTTCTCTGTAAAATGGCTTGAATTTGTTTATAATTTGTTGTCACGCTTCCTGGCCTGTTAGGAAGCTCTGCTCTTGTATCAAGATAAGGAGCCAACTCTCCTTCAGTGTGAGTGCCAGACCTGTTTTGCATCAGCATCTGCATTTGTATCTGCAAAAGTGATTCGAGGACATCTGCATTCACATTCGTGGATATAAAGCTGATATTCATGGATTTACAGGGCTCTAGTGAGTGGGATGTTAATATCTAGTCACAGCTCTCTCAAGAGGTGTCTGCAGTAGGGAGGAGAGAGAGTCTCACAACTCCCTTGCAGCTCAGCCTGGCTGATCATTTTAACCAGACCCTTGGAACTGAGGATGGCTTTCTTTGCCTTGGATTCAGAGCTTGGCTGGAATAAGAGTTCTCCCTTTCTCGTCATGGTGTGTCCACTACACATGCAGCTCTTCAGCAAGCTTTTATTGTCCTGCAAAACTCTGGGTGGAGAGATTGCGTTCTTCAGTGGCAGAATCAGGCCCCATAGCCCGGAGTTCAGTTGTGCAGAGAAGAGCACTTTTAAGCTGATTTAACTTTGGGGAATCTAGGAGCTAGAAGGAGACTCGTTAAAAAAGGGGCAGGCTGCCAGAAGTACTAATATGATCCATGTGCCATTTTTACTTCTGAGGCAAGTTGGTTTGATTGCGTAACCTAGCTGACAAAGAGCATTGTTGCTGCAGGGTTTGTGTCCCTTTCCAATGCTGCTGTATTCAAAACACGCTACATCAGAATGTGTTGTAGTTAAAACAAGGGAACTGGGGTCTTCCTTGTAGTAATTGGCTGAGGGCTTATTACAGACTCTGGGTGGATGAAGGTGGAGTGGCTCTGTTCCGAGAGTTCTTGCACTGTTTCAGTCCAGCTGCCCCACAGTGGCCCAAGAGAATTAGTACCAGCTTCAGGGGAGATTCTTACGAACCAGGGGACAAACCTCAGATTGGCTGTGAGGTCTCTGCTCAAATCTCAGCAGCCAGTTACCAAGTGTAAAACATCCGGAACATGGACTCTCAGACACTAAAACAGCCGGAACATGGAATCACAGATGCCCTTTTGTATTCCGATCTGTCTTGCCACTTAGGTGAGCCTGTGTCTGTGATAGATTGCCCTATACACACACCAAGAATCGGAGCAGTTTTCAGGTTACTCCCAGACACCAGGTCAATTGCACCTTCAATTTCACTGATGGCAGTGCTTGTAGCCAGTCCAGTGATAAACTAGCCACAAATGTATTAATAGGAAAAGGAAACACGAGCATTATTTACATGGTTAAAGCATCGCAGATTTGTCTGCTGTTTGTTTTCTAGATCGCACCAATTCTTACTGACCAGTTCTCTGACATGGATTCCCTCAGCTGTTACTCTAAATTGACATGTGGAAGAATGTCCACACAGGAGCAAATGTAAACTTCAGTGCCCCCAAACAAAACTGTACAAAAGGCTGACAGAGCTGGGGCATGTTTCAGAACATGGAAAAAACACAATTTCTGTACCAAAAAGCTTTAGCCTTAACTTCCTTCTTGATTCTGGATACCACTTTACTCTTAGATTCATGGATCTAAGGCCTTGAACAGTGTTTTACTTAGTTCAGTCTCACAACACACAATGTAAGCAAGGGATATGTGTAGTACAAATCGTTTCATTCTCCCATGGAAGCTAGCTATTCTTCTTCGAGCAGTGTCCCGTGGGTGCTCCACTATAGGTGTCAGGCTTGTCCCGGCGCTGCAGATCAGAGATCTTTTCCAGCTGTAGTTCGCCGGACCACACATGCGCCATGCGCATCTCGTGCCTTTTGTGCCATTTCTGAGTGCACCGTCCGGCTCCCGCCAGTTCCTCCTGGCTGTCCTCAGCCGCGGACGGAGTGAACGCTCTCTGATCGAATCCTGTCAGGGATTGAGACAGGAAATTGTTCGTGGTTGGTTAGTTAGTTGTAGTTATTAGTTTTACAGTCATAGTAATAGTTAGTTTGTTCTAGTGTTAGCTTTGTTTTAAAAAAATAAAATAAAAATAGTAATATGTGTAGCATAGTCAGTTGTTCTAGTTCTTCCTCAGTTTGGGGACGGAAGACGCGCTCTGGTTGAGCCATGCCGGGCTCACCCGGTTTTCAAAAGCCTCAGACGGGCATTCACTCTGTATACGGTGCCTCAGTGAAGGACATATCCCACAGAAATGTTCCCACTGTTCAAAGCTCACAACGCAAGCTAGATGGGACAGGGAGATGATGCTGAAAATGCTTCTATTTGATAAAGCATTACAGCCACCTGAGACGAATTCCTCCTGATCCCCTGAACCGGCCGTAGTCAGCGGACATCGACCTGCCTCGCCCAAGCCTGCCCACGCGAAGAATAGGCCTTCTCCCTCATGCTCTGCCCCCGGGGACAAACCGGGCACATCAGGCACAGCTGTTTGCCGCCAGCCCGATAAACACAAGCAGGGCCGGAGTACCTCAGCACCATACCCAGCACTGCCCAGAGACTCGGCGCTGAAAATCTCTGCGGCACTGACAACAGCACTGAGTCCTCCAGCACTGACTGCGGTGGCACCAACAATGCAGCCGTCACCGCTGCGCTGCCAAGTGTTGGCACCAGGAACATGCTCAGCACTGCCGCACCGCTCATTGCTGGCACCTACCTTGTACATGACTGTGCACTCAGCACCTACGCCAGCGTCGACGTCTACATCATCACGCGGACAGTCACAAGCACTGACCAAAGTGTGCCAAAAATCGTGCAAGCTGCCAACCCCATCACCCAGTCCGGACCATGCTGAATTTTCCCCAGAACCGCCTTCTCCGTATCCAGCTCAATCTTTTCGGTCCGATCATTTGGCAAGGCACCAGACCACAAGACGAGGATAGTACTCACCACCTTACACTTTGCCACATTACCATCGTCGACACCGAGACTCCCCAGCATCTTCCATGCATTCAAGGGGCAGATTGCGGTTACCCAGGTCTCCCACATGCTCCAGTTACTACAGACGCCGCGATGCTCATAGGAGCAGATACTCCTCCAGATATCCTCCGCCTTCCGCATGTCACAATGACGGTCCATGCAGCCATGACTACTGTTATGACAGATGTTGTTCATACTCCCCTCAACACAACACAGTAAGATCGCCTTCCTGTCACCAGCCTCAAACTTCAGATAACAGGACAAACTCTCCAGCTCCATCGGTAACCATGTCCAACAGAAACAACACCGTTTACTAAGAAACCTACAACCGTCCCAGAGGTCGAAAGTTGCACTCCCACTTGATGATGCGATTTTGGAAATAGCGGATGATATATGGCAGACACCGGCATCGACCCCAGCTACAAATAAGAAAGTGGACAAGAAATACTTTGTACCCAAAGTATGGAATTCCTCTTTGCACACCCACAACTGAATTCTCTTGTTGTGGCTGAAGCACAACAGAGAGCTAAAGCTCCTCAATATAAGAGTGCTAATACTCACAAGGAAAGCAGACGTGTGGATCTTTTCGGAAGAAAAGTTTACTTATCGGCCACATTAACTCTAAGGATGACAAATTACGCTGTGCTCCTAGCCAATCACAATTTTGACAATTCTTCAAAAGTGGTCCCACTTCTTAAATATCTGCCAGATAGTAAGTGTGAAGTTCTCACAGCTGTAGTACAGGAAGGGTACACGGCTTCCCGAACAGCGCTCCACATAGCCTTAGATACCGCGGATACACAAGCATGAACCACCGCCACATTGGTGATCATGCGCTGAACATCTTGGCTGCAGCAGGCGTCAGTGCCAAATGACCTCCTGCCAAAGGTTGAAGACCTTCCCTTTGACAGGCAGAACCTCTTCATGGAAAAGACAGACCAAGTCCTCCATTCTGGCAAGGACTCCAGGACAACACTTAGGACATTGGGGATGTTTATGCCTCCATATCGCAGGAAACATTACATGCCTTACCAAAAACAGAAGCCATATTCACACCCAATGCCTCATTACAGACAACAGGAGCACCAACGGACCAGGCAACGACAGCAGAAAAGACGACCACAAATGAGAGCGCCTAACCAATAGAACACCAGACAACAGGTTTGACGCCTTGGTTGAGGGACTACAGATCATTCCGCTGACCGCTCGCTATCATGCCACAAACACACTTTTTCATCATCGCCTGAGACCATTCCACCAACGATGGGCCTCAATTACCACCGACTGATGGGTTCTACAGATAATTGCATTGGATTACACCATCTCCTTTATGTCACTTCCTCCTGCCACCCCTCCCTCCCTGTTCCTCTTTAGGGACCCATCTCACAAGTCTCTCTTGAAATAGGAGGTAACTCATCTTCTAACTATCGCAGTGGTGGAAAAGGTACTGGATGAGTTCAAGAGCAGGGATTTTATTCCCACTATTTTTTGACCCAGAAAAAATCAGGAGGTTGGAGGCCAATCCTAGACCTTCAACACTTAAATTGGTACCTTCGTAAACAACATTTCAAGATGGTGACCCTGGTGACTATCATTCCAGCATTGCACAGCAGAGATTGGTTTATGTCCCTCGACCTCCAGGACACCTATTTTTATGTGACCGTTCATCTAATTCACAGACGCTTTCTATGTTTTCAGGTCTGTTCAGAGCACTTCCAGGACAAAGTCCTGCCTTTTGGTCTATCATCAGCGCCCAGGGTTTTCTTGAAAACCCTGGCAGTAGTGACAGCTTACTTACGGTGCGCGGGAGTTATTATATTCCCTTACCTCGATGATTGCCTGATCAGAGTACCTTCTTTCAACAAAGCACTTCAGGCTACCAACTTAACAAGAACCATATTCAAAGCGCTTGGTTTTATAATCAACCTCACAAAGTCATCCATGACACCTCAGCAATCCATAGAGTTCATAGGTGCACACCTCGACTCCACCACGGCTTGCGCATATTTACCAAAAAACAGGTTCCAAACTATCCAAGACCTGATACAGGTTCTCTCCATCAGCTCCAGAACCCCCATACTTACTTGTCTACGACATACGTCGTAGCACATGTAAGGTTGCACTTCAGATGCCTTCAACATTGGAATGCCTCGATATATGCACCAAACGGTCACGACATCCACAGGAGGGTCACGTTACCTTGTCATGTAAGAAAATCGTTGGCATGATGGACCATCCCCGACAACTTGATGGATGGCATACCCTTTCACCGCCCTCAACCAACAATGCAGATTACCACCGATGTATCACAGCTAGGGTGGGGCGCACATCTACAAAACCAACAAATCCAAGGCCGCTGGTCCTCTCAGGAGTCCTTGCAACATTTCAACCTGCTCAAGTCAAGAGCAGTCTTCAATGCCTTCCCCTAAATGTGGTCATGTCATTGGTGTTCTTACTGACAACATGACAACAGTATACTACATAAACAGACAGGGTGGGGCTTGATCCCGATCCCTTTGCATGGAGGCGATGCGATTATGGAACTGATGCAACCAACACAGAATTACGATTATCGCAGCGTACGTCCCTGGCGAGCAGAACATCACAGCCGATGCCCTCAGCAGGCATTTCTTGACAAATCACGAATGGGAATTGCACCAGATGTGCTTCTCACCCTTTTCCGCTGCTGGGAATATCCATCCACAGACCTCTTTGCCACGCACCGGAATGCAAAGTGCCCTCAATACTGCTTACGAGTGGGTATTGTACCGAAGTCGATGGGAGATGCGCTCCTATGCGACTGAAGCCACCACCTTCTATATGCCTTTCCACCTACTCCTCTCATTCCCAAAGTTCTGGAAAAGATAGCAATGGAAGGAGCCAGAGTGATACTAGTAGCCCCTATTGGCCATGACGGACATGGTTTCCTTACCTGTTTCACATGTCAGTCCATCCTCTGTACCATCTTCCCAGACACCGCGACTTGCTGACGCAGAACCACGGATACTTGACACACCCTCAGCTCGACCACCTCGCTCAGATGGCATGGGTACCTAGTTGGTTCCAACAGACAGAGATGAGTTGTTCCCAATCAGTCAAACAGGTCCTATTACATAGTAGGAGATCCAATACACGCAATACTTACCTGCATAAATAGTGGCGATTCTGTTCATGGTGTTCTACTGCAAAACTGGACCCCTCCTTCGTCCCTATTCACTGCGTTTTGGACTATCTCCTAGATCTCAAACGCTCTGGCCTTGATTGTTCATCCCTTAAAGTTCACATTGCGGCAATCACTGCCTTTCGGCACTCTGTGGACGGCTAGTCTGTGTTTTCCCACCCAATGACGAAGAGATTTATGAAAGAGTTGGCTAATCTCTTCCCATGCCACAGGCACCCCTCAGATCCATGGAAACTGGAGCTAGTTTTGGATGCCTTAATGGGGTCCCCTTTTGAGCCCTTGGCAACTTGTGACTTATCCACTGTAACCATGAAGGTGTTTTTTCTGTTGGCAATAACCTCAGTGCAGAGGGTTGGGGAATTATCCACCCTCTTGGTGACACCACCTTACAGTGTTTACCCCCCAGGCAGTAATACTTCACCCTCAACCAGCCTTTCTACCAAAAATGAATTCGGAGTTCCACATAAATGAACCAATAGTTCTCCCCACATGCTACCCTAAGCCACGTTCCTCGACACAATATGCACAGCTCCACACCTTCGATGTCCATAGAGTGTTGGCTTTCTACATTGACAGGACACGGTGCTTTCGGAAATCTCAGAGCCTTTTCTTGTCCATCGTAGAATGTTCCAAAGGCCATCCTTTGTTGGTACAGCGCATATCCAGACTCATCGTTACGTGGATCATGCAATGTTACTCACTGCAGAACAAACCTCTCCCACATACTTTGAGACCCCATTCAATGAGAGCGATGGCAAAGTCAACTGCCTTCCTCAAGGGAGTTCCCCTACGAGATATTTGCTGTGCAGCTACTTGGTCTTCCGGCTTTACATTTGCTAAACACTATGCTATCCCTAACATCCTTATGACTGACTCAGCAGTTGCCTCTGCTGTCCTCTCCACGGCAGTAGGGTGTTAACTCCGAATTCTGCCTCCTTGAAGTAGGCTACTGCTATGAACTCATCTACAGTGGAGCACCCACGGGACACTGCTCGAAGAAGAAGAAGAAGAAGTTACTCACCTTGTGCAGTAATGATTATTCTTTGAGATGCATGTCCCGTGGGTGCTTGACGACCCGCCCTCTTCGGGGTACCTTGCTTATTATGTCTTTCAGACTCTAGAGGATCAGGAGAAATTGGTGGGATCCAGACTGCACACTCAGAAACGATGCGAAAGGCACGAGACGCACGTCGCGCATGCGCGGTCCGGCCAACTACAGCTGAAAAAGATCTCCGATCTGCAGCGCCGGGACAAGCCCGACACCTACAGTGAAGCACCCACGGGACATGCATCTCGAAGAACCATCGTTAATTGCACAAGGTTAGTAACTTCTTCTTCCTTACAACTTTAATATTATGAACTCCTATAGAGACAGGGAGCATAACAGTACGTATGGGGAAAATGGACTATTTGAAACAACAGCCTAAGCAAAATACTGATTCAAAAACAATTCTAAAAGAACAACAGCCTAGCAAAGAAGAGTAGACTGAGCAGGCTAATGTAATTTTTAAAACTGAAATGTAGAGCAAATGTTCTGTAGGTTTACATGCAGCATGCTGGCGTACAGAGGAAAATACAAATGCTAGTTTCTAATCAAATCTGGGAGCGAGAATTTCTTTTTATGCTCACCAGAAGCCCTGTGTGCTCATGTCTTCCTGAGTGTCATGTTCTTTCATTTGTGACAAAGTGGCAGCTCTAAAAGCCAGCGCAGTGCCTGTGCAGCAGGCATGGACATGGAGATGAAGCCTGATGCTGCCAGTGGAATTTAGGGAAGCAAAATGTAATTACAACCTGGAATTTGGCCAAGATATGTGGGCTAGCACCTCAGCTCTTACACACAGCACCACTGCATGTCTGAGTAATACACAGCAGCTCTCAGGAGGCTGAATGAGTGCAGAGAAGCGAGGCCACCTTTGAACCGCAGATATACACAGACTGAGTCTGCCTTGGCTGGAAAGGAAGAGGGCTACCAGCTGGATCCCAAGACTCCTTCCTGCTGGATGTACTGGTTCCCTGGGGCTCTCTGAAAGGGACCTTGTGAGATCTGGCAGGTTCGCGGGACCAGGGTGATTTGACAATAGATTCTTTTTAGCTGCTGCATCAATATGGCAGAACTAAATAATGCAACTGTTTGAGAGAACTCTTGAATTTCCAGGTTTTCTTATGATATAGACAGGGTCGTGCACATAGGTGACACTGCCCAACGGGAAGGCCTTAGCAAGCACATCACAGGTTGCCTGCTCTGAGACGTACCAATGAGGCTGTTATGGAGTGGGAAGGGGTCATTGCAGCTGGGAAGGCATCACAGAGCAAGCGTGTTTCAACAAGGCTTTTGCAGGAAAGGGTGAGAGTTGTGCAGAGAATACACAAGAGAATACTTAAAGGAAAAAATGCACCACGACACCAACATTCACATGAAAAATGCAGTGGAATTTCTTAAACAGCATCGCTTTGATTTTCCACCTTCCTTTGGCAAAGCTAATTATATTATTGGTAGGGAAAAGAACTGGACACTTATTTGGATGTTGGTGGTACAGTGGGTGCGATTTGTGTGATTAAGAGCCTACATCCCAGTCACTTCAGTGACAGACTATAGTGCCTAACGACTTGTCTGTACTACAGACTTCGGCCAATACGTAGGCATAGTGCATGGCTTGTGCTCGTGCGTACGTGGCTCACTGTGTCGGCCCTACACATGCCCACCAGGATCCAGTGTGCAGCTTGTCCTGTCCAGTGCACTTCCTTTTAGGAAGTTTTGGCAGCCAGCCAGCTACTCAGGGGTGACTGAGAGTACTGGGTCAAGTTCTCTGTGAATCCTGGCAATGGGGTTCTCAGCTGTGTCTGGGTGGGTAATGTCGGGTGTGATGGGTCAGCGCTTAGAGGGCTGGTACAGTTGACACAGGCAATAATGCAGCGTCTCCATTCATGCTGCTTTGACCTCAGTGCCTTGCCCATGGATCAGCGCCAGTGGGGGAGCAGAGATTAATCTGTCAGCATACCGTGATCTTACATGGGTGAGAGACACATTTCAGTAGAGACTCATGCACAGCTAGGCCGACCCAGGGCAGCTTCCATTAAGCTAGCTTTGCAGTGCAGACCAGGCCTCAGTCACTTTTGAAAATGCAATGAACTAAATCTCATACATATTTTGGAAAGTTTTACTCAGTGTCATGGTGTGTAAAGGGCATTAGATGCAAAGGATGATGAGTTGTTGTCATGCTCAGGAATAAACCAGCTCTAGAATGCACCTTGCTTCTGCTCAAGTTAGTGAATATCTGGATGGGGCTCTTAATTTGGAGCTGGGAAGGTAATTCCCCCGAGGGTATATTGGTAGGGGCCCAGTTTGTATTCTCCATTCCAGGCATCATTTGCCAGGATTAAAGGGGGATGTTCTCCTCACTTCCAAACAGCTCCCTGACATTGCTGGGGGATTGGCTTTGGCAGCCATTGGTGATTACCATCTTACATGCCTCGTCTTCCCAATACTACATGTGAAGTTTACTGGTTGAACTGGGATTCTGCTATTGCAAACACATTTCAGGTGTACAAGAATTTAGCTCACCGGGGCCCCATCCCCCAAAAATTCTGAGTATCCCAAGAAACAGTTTCCTGTCTCTTCTAGTGAAGCGAAATGCATTTGCTAGCTGCAGGGTCTGCACAGTGCAGCGTGGCAGTCTGGCAGTTTTGTGCTCATAGAAAATAGAGTCCTATTGCTAAAGGGTACATAAAAGGGATTTGCAAGACTGCCTGTCTCATGATTTCTCACTCCCATCTCTTACGTGTTCTCCCCTTCAGCTGACTTGTCCACTTCAGCTGACTTGTCCACATTGCTATAGGAATATGGCCTGTCCCCCAGAGGCCTTGTAGAGTATAATGGACAGGAGTGCCTGGCTCCTCAGGGAGCTACAGGTGATGTCTTTGGAGGTAGAAAGATGTTAAGTGGCCCCTACCCTGACCTAGTATTTGTGAGTGTAACCCTTCTGCCAGGCCGAGTAAATAGCAGCAGCAAGCCCCCACCCAGTGACCTGGGAAATCTTACATACACCTCTGGGTGCCTCAAAAGAGGCAATTCTTCCCCTCTCACAAGCACAGAGCCTCAGTATAGTAGCAAACCTTTAATAACATGAGGTCACCACAACTCGGATTTTACCAACCAAACAATGAGCAAAGGCCCTCCCCCCAGCCACAAATCTCCCCAACGTCCCAAAAGTCCAACACCCCAAGAGTCTCAGCACTGGGTTCAAAAGTCCACCCGGCAGGGTTTCACCATCCCAACCTGGAGGGGGTGGGGATCGATGCACCCTACATGGCCCGGCGGTGGCTCCGCCTCTCCGTGCCGCCACCGTCAACGCGAGTCACTCCGCCACACTCCACTTGTCGTCAGGTAAGCCGCCTCCACTGTCCGGCTCCGCAAATCCGCCGATGCACCTTACGTGGCCCGGCGGTGGCTCCGCCTCTCCGTGCCGCCGCCGTCAACGCGAGTCACTCCGCCACACTCCACTTGTCGTCAGGTGAGCCGCCTCCACTGTCCGGCTCCGCAAATCCGCCAACCATCTCGGTCCACGCTCCGGGCTGCCAGCTGGTTGCTCCTGCCGCTGCTCCGCCAGCCGCCGTCCTTACCAGCCGCAGGCCGCCGTCAGCCGCTCCGCTGTCTGCCCTCAGGTCGCCCCGCCAGCTGCATCTACTGTCCGCCTGCGCTTGCTGGTTGCCCCTTGCAAACTGCTCTGCTAGCAGCACAGCGCCTGGCTCCCCTCAGCAACAGTGATTTCAGCTCATAACAGAGGAGCCTTAGCGCTGGCCCACAGCAAAGTTAGCTCCACAGCTCACAACTAGACTCCTAATGGAATCTAAATTAACTCTGATATTCCACAGTGGAGAGAGTGCAATCAGTGTTGTTTAGGCCCTCAGACAGGGCCCCACCACCAGGTACCAAGATCTGTCCCCAATCTCTCTCAATTTGACTGGGTTTGGAACCCATGCCCCTTGTCTAGCGAGTGCTACTTAGTTTATGGCGAATCCCTCTGTCATAAACAGTTCCACCATTCCATTGTCCTTGATTCGCATAATCAGGGTAACAACACTTTTATCCCCTCTGCCTCAATAACAGAGAGACTGGGGCTCCCACAGTGGCCAAAGTGACGATTTGGGCTGCTGTGGCACATACTAGACAGGGTGGGTGTGTCTATGCAAATTGGGCTCAGCCCCTGAAGTCTCTTTGCACCACTTGCCACAGTTCGCCACTAGATGTCAGGATAGAGTTTACCCTGACCCTGCTTACATGAGTATGTGGTATAAGGGGGAGGGGAGGCTGCCCATTGCATGAGCATATTTTTAGCAATGAGCTCTGAGATTTGACAGATCTGGTAAAGAAACAGTTCACCTCGAATGCCTATCTCCTTGCTGGTGCACGCATGCTCTCATGTGCTGAAACCCAGCAGCCTGCTCTGCTTCACTATGGGATCTGGAAACCTTGGTGTGGTGCCACCTGAGAGAGATGTTAATGTCATCTCAGAGAAGGTGGGATAGCAGCTCCTTGGGAGTGATCAGATCAGGTATTAAATATTTCCTAAGGAATGAGCCTCCTGTGTTCCCTGCACTAGGAGGAGTTTCCTTGTGTGGAGGCACCAGGTTCTGTTGTAAGTGACCCCAGAATAGAAAAGGGAAAAAGGGAGAAGGCTGCACCCGCCCCTCAGGTGGATTTACAGGGCCATGTAAGGTACATCCATGCACCGGTGGCTGGCAGGGGTCAGCTGACTTGGGCACATGGAGTTCAGCCTGTGGGGTTGCAAAATCACTGGATAGACACTCAGCCTGGAGCCAGAGTGCTGGGACCATGCAAGGGAGGAGGGGCTCCAACCTGAGTTCGAATGTCTCTACTGTCAGCTGAGCCAGGCCACCCATGTGCTGTGGGTCTTTTGGTCCAGTGTCATAGAACCCCAGTGCTGGAAGAGACCTCAGGAGTCATCGAGTCCAGTCCCCTGCCCAAAGCAGGACCAACCCCGACTCCGATCATCCCAGCCAGGGCTTTGTCAAGCCAGGACTTTAAACCTCCAGGGATAGAGATTCCACCTCCTCCCTAGGGAACCCAGCCCAGTGCTTCCCCACCCTCCTAGGGAAATGGTTTTTCCTGATATCCAACCTGGACCTCTCCCACCACAACTTGAGACCATTGCTCCTTGTTCTGCCACCTGCCCCCACTGAGAACAGCCTCTCTCCAGCCTCTTTGGAACCTCCCTTCAGGAAGTTGAAGGCTGCTATGGAATCCCTCCTCACTCTTCGCTTCTGCAGACTAAACAGACCCAACTCCCTCAGCCTCCTCATAGGTCATGTGATCCAGCCCCCTCCTCATTTTGGTCACCCTCCGCTGGACCCTCACTAATGCATCCACGTCCTGTCTGTAGTGGGGGCCCAGAATTGAACACAATACTCCAGATGTTGCCTCACTAATGCTGAATAAAGGGGAATAAACATTTCTCTAGATCTGCTGGCAATGCTCCTCCTAATGCACCCTAATATGCCATTAGTCTTCTTGGCTACAAGGGCGCCCTGTTGACTCATATCCAGCTTCTGATCCACTGTAACCCCCAGGTCCTTTTCTGCCAAACTGCTGCTTAGTAAGTCTGTCCCCAGCCTGTAACAATGCTTGGGATTCTTCCGTCCCAAGTGCAGGACTGTGCTCTTGTTCTTGTTGAACCTCATCAGATTTCTTGTGGCCCAATCCTCCAATTTGTCTAGGTCACTCTGGACCCGATCCCTGCCCTCCAGTGTATCTACCTCTCCCCCAGCTTAGTGTCATCCACAAGCTTGCTGAGGGTGCAATCCATCTCCTCATCCAGGTTATTAATAAAGTTTTTGAACAAAACTGGCCCTAGAACCAGTCCTTGTGGCACTCTGCTTGAAACTGACCGCCAACCAGACATTGAGCCATTGATTACTACCCCTTGGGCCCGACAATGTAGCCAGTTTTCTATCACCTTACTGTCCATTTTTCCAATCCATACTTCTTTAACTTGCTGGCAAGAATACTGTCAACCTAGCTATAGCATAACACTGCTATAAGTAGAGGCATAACAGGCATTCAGTTGCACATGCAGGGCAGATTAAATCTTCCCTGGCATGTACAGCCATGGAGAGTGTTAACTGTCCATGTGCCGAACCTACTAAACTGGTCTCAAATTCGTACTAGCCATTTGGCAGTTTGAAAATGCAGTTCATCCTAATTCAATGTAGAGAGTCCATACTGAAACATAAATAAGGTGCAAACCCAATAGGTCAGTGCTTCCCATCCCAACCTTTTTTATGCTGGGGACCAGCAAACCCATTCACAAACTTTGGTGGACTGGCACCATTCTATTTGCATATTCATTTTGCAAATAATGAATATGCAAATAAAATGTTGCCAATCTGCCAAAAGCCCTGGTCTCCAGAGCACTCCCAATGCCAGTCTCAGGGTATGTCTACACTAGCCCACTATTTCGAACTGCCTGTTAAACCTCATTGCAGGAGGAGTAACAGGTAGTTTGAAATAAGTCTTTATTTCGAAGTACCAGTTCACTGCCGTGTGTAGACACGGGCAGTTATTTCAGACTAGTGAAATTTAAAAATGGTGCCCAGATGGGAAGATGCAAATAAAGCCCGGGATATTTAAATCCCAGGCTTCATTTGCAATTTCGAATGCCTACATTAGCCTCCCTATTCCGAAATAGGGGGCTAGTGTAGACATACCCTCAGTGACTCCCAGAGACAAACTTGTTCGATCTCAGTCTCCCCAAGATCCAAAAATGACAAAATACTGGTGCTTGGTGCCACCACCCAAGTGACTAAAAGAAAATATCAAATAAACCCTTTTCCAGGGAAGAGAGACCTTAGGGAGGGGATTCCCAAGTGAAAGCTCTCCCTCCTTCCCCCAACCTCCCTTTTGCTATGAGTAGGAAAACAAACAGAGGGACTCTGCAGAGAACAATGGACTCTCCCAGGGTAACTAGGCATGTAAACTTCAGGACACAACAATCAACCAGCACTGGTTAATCAAAACAAAAGGAAAACTCTTTTATCAAAACAAAACTACTGGTGCAAGCCTGGTAAATTGACTAGGTGATACATAGCCATGAAGTGACATAGACTCAGGGCAAGTCCCTGGGCTGGAATCCTTAGTTACAAAGGAGAAAAACAATTAACCAGCTCAGACGTGATTTCCAAACCCCCAAACAATTAAACAATAAACCCTGACGGACTACACATTTCAAGAAGTCTGTTCTTGGGGAGGGAGAGAGAAGCGTCACCCATCTCCCACAATAACTGGGAGAAACTGCTCTGATCTCAAACAAAGAAGAGAGGAAGAAAAAACCCTCTGTCCCGTCTGAAATTCCTATCTGCATTTTTATTGGTTGAACCCCCTCCCTAGGTGCACCTTCAGTTGCTTAACCCTTTCTTCACTCTTCAGGGAAGTCACACTCTCCTTAGGAGTGCCTATTTATGACAGTCCCCTGCACCCATTCCCCCCCATGCCAGCCTTCTGCCCTCAGAGACCCCCAGTGCCAGCCTCCCGTTTCCAGAGCTCCATTGCACTCAACCCCCTCACAGCCGTCCCCAGTGCCAGGCTTTCACCTCTTAGAGTCCCCTAACACTAGCCCTGTCCCCGGAGTCCCCAGTGCCTACCTAGTCCTATGCTGCCTCCCAGCCTCCAGCTGAGCCATGGGCCATGGCTGCTCTAAGGCTGCTGTTCCGGGCTCTGTACAGCCCTCCTGGGCTATGTCTACACTGGCAGGTTATTGCGCAAGAATGGCCGTTCTTCCAGAAAGCATCCACGCTGCCCACCTGCTCTCGCACAAGAGCATTTACAGTACGGCGTGGGAAGAGAGGGCTTCTTGTGCAAGAGCTACGCTCTTTTTTAACACGTGTAAGCCCTCTTGCGCAGGAGCTCTTGCTCAAGAGGGCAGTGTGGATGCTCAGCAGGGATTTCTTGCGCAAGAAACCCCTATGGTTAAAATGGCCTTCGGAGCTTTCTTGCACAAGAGAGCGTCCACACTGCCATGGATGCTCTTGCACAAAAGCACAGCTTGCACATGGGAGTGTGGATGTTTTCTTGCACAAGAACCCTTGCACAAGATGTTCTTATGCAAGATGCCGCCAGTGTAGACACAACCCCGCTGTGCAGCCAAGCGTTGTCCGCATCCGGGAAGAGACCCTGCCCCTGCCCCTGCCCCTGCCCGGTGCTGATTGGCTGAGAGGTGGGGCAGGTCATGCCTCCCCCAACAGTTGTGGTGGGAGCGGTGTGCCTGGCAGTGGGCCGCAGCCTGGTGACTGGGAACCACTGCAATAGGTTATCTGGTGGAACAACACCAAGTGGCTAAAACATACAATTGCATCGGTCTGGGAGATGATTATTTGATAACAGCCTAAGCGTACAAGGGAATTGTGCAAGAGACACTGGCTGTGCACAGCGTGTGTGGATCCAGTGCAAACAGGGCTAGACAAGGAAAAGGGTTTCTTGCCCAAGTCAGTAAGCGAGTGACTGGGAGGAGATCAGTGTTTTCCCCATGTCGCCCTGGCCGGAGCCATCAGGAGAAGGGTGAGGGCGGGTGAAAGCGCACTGAGAACAATACAACCAGACATCGGTGACATTCTGTAAAGGAAAAGGGGACTTGGGTTCGCTTTCTTCTGATGTTTCAAGACAAAGAGGGAGGTGGTGATACAGGGTTGTCCCCAAGGGATACCTTGCAGCCTGCATTTGGGCAAGCTGGGCAGTGTTACAGAGGGACACAATGGCTGCACTTGCTGAGCGTCTGTGAGTGAACTTCTTGGTCCCGGATTCTTGTGTCGCAGAGGGTTGCTGGGAAGACTTTCCTGTTTGCTGATGCGTGTGAGCCTTGCAGTCTGTTTTGAAGCTGGGGCGCTCTGGGGAGACACCATGTTATCTCTCAGGGTGGAGCCAGAACTGACCTGACAGGGCACAGAGGTGGGGCTGTGGTGTATCCCGGGTCTGGAATTCCCAGAAGAGGAAAGCTTCAGACACACCTGAGATACGTTGGGTAGAGCCAAGGAGGAGGGGCAGGGCGGATGAGGGAGGGAGAATGGCGCAGACAATTGTACTAGGGCCCTGAGCTCAGCCTCCCACCCCCCCACATCTGTAACCAGGGTGAATTGGGAGAGGGTGGAGACACCAAGAACGTTCCCAGATCCCAGATTTCTCTCAACAGGCCTAAGTTCTGATCAGACCATCTTTAGGGGGTCCAGGGCAACCGCCAATGCCTCAGGCATGGACCTCTGCTCGGTCTGTGCCCCACACCTTCTTCGGCCCCACTGCATCCCTTGCCCATTCCCTGCGAGCTGGGAAGTACTCGGAGGCCTGGCTTGGCAGCAGCAGTGAAGCTGAGCACAGCAGGCTGGGAAATGGCAGCGGAGCAGAGCAGAGGGCTGGGTCGCTCTGGCTCCTGCCACTGTGTGAGTGCAGGGGACAGACCCCTGCACCACACCATACTAGGCCCCCAGGTAATTCCCCAAGCTGTCCTGGGCCCCGGGGGCCAGTCCTATGGACGGAATGGCTGGGAGGACAGTTTGTGCACTAGGCTAGCAAGGGCATTGCAGGCCAAAATTGTGCCACTTTAGCACATATATGGAGACTTCCACAAAACGTCTCCACAGGGAAAAGGTTCATGAAATACCAGGGGAAACACACAGGCTGTGTCTACACTGGCATGAATTTCCGGAACTGCTTAAAACGGAATACTATTCCGTTTTCAGTTTTTCCAGAAAAGGAGCGTCTACATTGGCAGGCTGCTTTTCCGGAAAAGCCCTTTTTCCGGAAAAGCATCTGTGGCCAATGTAGACGCACTTTTCCGGAAAAGAGCCCCGATCGTCATTTTCGCGATTGGGGCTTTTTTCCGGAAAAGACTACTGGGCTGTCTACACTGGCCCTTTTCCGGAACAGTGTTCCGGAATAAGGACTTATGCCCGAGTGGGAGCAACGTAGCTTTTCCGGAATAGCGGCTGATTTTGTACAGTAGAGTGTCGTTGCTTTTCCAGAAATTCAAGGGCCAGTGTAGAGAGCTCGCAGCTTATTCCGGAAAAGCGGCTGATTTTCCGGAATAAGTGGCCCAGTGTAGACACAGCCATACTGTACAAACTGCACAGACAGCCTGACCGGTGTGAGGCTGGCTTCTCGTCTGTGTGTCTGCCTGCCTGCCATCGACTGGGTCAGGAAACCAAGGCTGCCAGGACACAGGGAGAAGGGAAGTGCTCCAGGGCTCCTCAATTCAAACGATTCAGTTCAGATATGCCAAATAAGCCCTAGCTCTATGTTGAACACAGCATGTTGGCTGCTGCTGCCAAAGCAAGCTTAGGAATTTCTGACCTTGTGCTTGTCCACCTGGGGATTAGACTCACGTGTGTGTGTTTATTGCTTGCTTTGTGTTACCAGAGGCAGCTGGGAAGGGGGACCCCAGGATGGAATCACTACATGATTCTATTTTGCTCATTGCCCCAATGCACCTGGCATCTGTCACTGTTGGATGACATGGTACTGGGCGAGATGGACCTTTGGTCTGATGCCGTGTGACCGTTCTTATGTTCTAGAAACCCTGTTTTTGTTTAGGACATATTAGAGAGTCCCAAGGGGGGCAAAAATAGTTAGGGGGCTGGGGCATACAATTAGGAAATGCTAAGGGAACTGTGCTTATTTAGTCTGCAGAAGAGAAAAGGGGTCTCCAAAGAGGATTCAGCTAGATTCCTCTCAGTGGTGACAGATAATAAGCAACAATGTTTTCCATTTGCAGTTGGGGAGATCTAGGTTGGAAAAACTATTTCTGGGGGGGGGGGGGGAGAGGGGGAAGGTAAATGTCTGTGAGCTAATGCTATTACAGGTGATAATTGGGGAAGCTATCTTTGTAATGGGTAAGATAATTGGTGTCTTTGTTAAGTGTCAAATGTAAGTGTCATGCGTAAAGTGTCAAATTTAAGCATGAATGACAGTTCAGAGGTTTCCCTTTCAAGTCTGGTGTTAAAATGTCTTTGAAGCAGAATGCAGGTAATCAAGTTGTTGAGACATTGAAGGCATCTGCCTGCAGCTCAGAGTCAGTGGGCTGTACGCAGAGCCCAGGCTGTACGCAGAGTTCCGCTTTCCTCCTTTGAAATGTACAAGAGCCCTGGGGGTCTTGTACATTTCAATGGAGGAATGCGGACATGCCTGTCGACTAGTCAAGTAGTCAATGGACATTCCATCAACTACTTGACTAGTCAATTAACCATTACTTAACATCCTTAGTCTAGTTGTGTTGATCCAGGATATTCACAGGACCTTGTTTCTCTCATATTGTGGGACCAACACAACTACAACTGCTCATATTGAAGACTTTGGTGGTCTCTAAATCTTGGTCACCTGTCTGTGAACCCTGCCCCTCTTTGTTTCTGCTAAGGTTTTCTGCTACGGCCTCCAAAAGAGAACTCAGTGTTTTGGTGAAGACACAGCATCCGTTTATACACTGTGATTGTAGTATACTTTGTATTATTTTCTATCCCACATTTATTACAATCACACAGGCTTTTGGTGCATGGAGCAGATATTTTCAGTGAGCTGCTCTCTGCTGTGTGTATGAGGACATCCGATGATTTGTTCCAGCATGCTGTATAAAGATGTAAATATCATTATTCTTATTTACCAGCAGGGTAAACTGAAGCACAAAAAACTATAGTGACTTGATCATGAGTTGCAGTGATTTTTCACCGTTCTTTTGTGTGTGAGCCTGTTTTTGGTATTTTCTTAAGCATTTTCGTAATATACTAAATATAGTATCCAGGGTTTCATTGATGCCTGGAGTTTTCCTCTTCCATTAATGTGTCAGCTTTTAATTGATCCCCACGGTTTCTGAAGGGTCAGCATTTACCTCCTGAGTGACTTGATCATGAGTTGCAGTGATTTTTCACCGTTCTTTTGTGTGTGAGCCTGTTTTTGGTATTTTCTTAAGCATTTTCGTAATATACTAAATATAGTATCCAGGGTTTCATTGATGCCTGGAGTTTTCCTCTTCCATTAATGTGTCAGCTTTTAATTGATCCCCACGGTTTCTGAAGGGTCAGCATTTACCTCCTGCATCGCCGGGATAACTCGTTCTGTTTCAGAGATGGCTACTGGGCCAACGCTTAGAATGGATCAGCAAAGTTTGTAGCCAGCAGGTTGCTAATGTCTGTGTTTGTGTCTGCACAGGCGAAGGACAGCGATGATGATGATGAAGTCACAGTTAGTGTGGACCGGGATCGCTTCATGGATGAGTTCTTTGAGCAGGTGAGAGATTTGTTCTCTCAGTGCAGCTTTGAGCTGCGCTGCTGGTCAGAGCTACCTGCTGCTTTCTTCCTGACCTGCCGCTGGATATTCTCCGCAGAATAGCGGCCACATATGTTCTTATTCCTGCCCTCAGTCGGTGCCGCTCATGGGATTCAGTCACATGTTCAGGATTGGGGACTGAATCGTTTTCTCGTTGACACGAGGCTTGCCAATGTGTAGGGTTCCGCCTTCGTCAGCTCCGCTGGGGTCCCGCATGGAGCGTGCCCCATAGACATTTAGGCATCAATGAGAAGCATTCAGTCTTCACAGCAGAACCAGTGGTGTAATGCGCAGGAACAGAGGCTATGATGTAATGTGCTATTTGATCCTTCAGGTGCATCCATCAAAACCACAGCACCAACTGTTGGTCAGTTAGAACACATGCCCAATGCCAGGGTGGAGAAAGCCACTGTTGTTTGAGGCTTTCTGGTTGCACATTGCATACCTGAGACTTTGATTAAAGCAGAAAGGTACTAAAACAACCCTGAAAGTCCCTCTTCATGGGCCTGGGTTACATTTTCTGTACATATCTGGCTTACACATGGGAGGTTCTGTTCTGGCATGTGGGTGGCTGTGAGTGATGCATGCAGCTTTTTAGAACACCTTTATCATAGTACAGGCAGTCCCCGGGTTACATGGATCCGACTTACATCGGATCCCTACTTACAAACGGGGTGAGGCAACCCCGCACTAGCTGCTTCCCCCCAGCAGACCAGGGAGACGCGAAGCTAGCGCCCCCCCCAGCAGACCAGGGAGACGCGAAGCTAGCGCCCCCCCCCAGCAGACTAGGGAGACGCGGAGCAGCTTTTCTCAGCAGACACCTCAGCTTGAGAATAAAGGACTGAAGGAAGTGAGGTGTGGGAGAATAAAACTGAGCTCTGGAGAAATGTTTGGCTAGAGTTTCCCCTACAATATGTACCAGTTCCGACTTACATACAAATTCAACTTAAGAACAAACCTACAGTCCCTATCTTGTACGTAACCCGGGGACTGCCTGTATATGGGGCGGGGGAGGGTGAAGACATCGCGAGGAAGGCTACCAAGAGCTGAATGTAGGATGCAAAACCCCATTTGCAAGGCTGATGACAGGCGCAGTCACTCAGCAGGTTGAAGGCAGAGACAGGCAGCCCAGGGAAGCAGCATGATGCAAACCCAGACTGCATTTCTCAGGACATCAGCAAACTGCCTTACCAGGCCGCGTGATGGAGTACTGGTCAGAAGTGCATCTCACTCAGTACATCTGTTCTCCTGGCGTCTCAGGCAGATGTTCGGGTGAATTACTGAAAAGTTAACCCAGGGATCCAGCAGTTAGAGGAGCAAGGTGGTCTGCAGTTTCAGTTGTGCCTCTGGAGCAGAATTGTTCCATGTATCAGGTGCAGAACCGTTATTCCTGATGCTAATTCATGAGCTGGGATGTTTGGAGTCTCCCAGATCCCATGGAAGTTTGCTGAGCTCGGATGTTGAAATAACATTTTCTATTGTAAAAACAACAACAAGTCCTGTGTCACCTTATAGATTCACGGTGTGTCTACACTACAAAGTTCATTCCAACTAACAGACGTGAGTTCCAATTAACTTTGATAGGCGCCACACATGCAAACCGCTAGTTGGAACTTAATTCGAACTAGGTAAATCTCATTCCACGAGGATTAACGCCTAGTTCGAATTAAGTACAGGCAGACCCTGGGTTACATGGATCCGACTTACATTGGATCCCTACTTACAGACAGGGTGAGGCAACCCCGCACTAGCTGCTTCCCCCCAGCAGACCAGGGAGACGCGAAGCTACCCCCGCCCCCCAGCAGACCAGGGAGACGAGGAGCGGCTTTTCTCAGCAGACACCTCAGCTTGAGAATAAAGGACTGAGGGAAGTGAGGTGTAGGAGAATAAAACTGAGCTCTGGAGAAATGTTTGGCTAGAGTTTCCCCTACATATGTACCAGTTCCGACTTACATACAAATTCAACTTAAGAACAAACCTACAGTCCCTATCTTGTAAGTAACCCGGGGACTGCCTGTAGTATATACCTTCTCAAGCTGTGACCTGTAACCCAACCTCTTAAGTGTAGATGTACCCTGAGAGTTGTGGTACACCAGTTACTTGTAGGATTTTGAGAGCATGCTACCCGTCAATTCACAATCATTGAAACATTTTGTATACACAATGTCAAAATGTTTCATTTCAATAAGAAAATATATTGAACATAAAATATTCAATAAAATATAAATGTAACATAAGATTAAAATATGATTATATAAAGTCTAAATTAAACATCTCAACACAATCACAATGAAAGAAGCTGAAATGCTGATTTGACATTATTGACACGCAGTGATTAAATTTGAAATGCATCCTTTTAACTTTGTCATTAAAAGTGACATGTCTTTTCACTTTTGACAACTCTGCATTTTCCCACAGAAAATTGCTGTCTTTTTTTCATAACCCTCTCTGCATAATATCCAGGCCAGTGCTTCTGATTTTCAAAAGTTTAAATAAGTAAGACAACAGTTTAGAGCCTGTCATTTTAGAAAGCCAGCAAGTTCACAGCAATATAGCACTTCCTAACCCATTCTCCAAGGACAGTTTAATGCTCTTCAGATCTAGTTTCTAGTGAGCCGCACTCCTAAGCTGGTTTCAAATGTCTCATCAGCCAGACTTCAGTCCTATGGTCTGAAGTCCCGTAAGAGGCCCCTCTGTGGTACTTCCATCTTCCAGCCCTAGTAGTTGCCTCCTGCTTGTAGGCTACTCCTGGGTTCCCACCTGCAGTCACCTTCCAGGTTGCTTTCTAGAACCCGCTGTGCACGTGCACATGCACATTCTCCTTCCACTGCTCACCTGCGACTGGTTCTATTGCCCTCTAGATACCATTTTCCTCTTGCGGGTCACTAAAAATTACAGAGTCCTCTATCACAGCGGTTCTCAAACATGGATCAGGATCCTTAAGTAGGTTGGAACTCTATTTTAATGTGGTCACCAGGGCTGGTGTTAGATTTACTGGGGCGTGGAGCTGAAGTCGTTGAACATTTGCTTTGGCCCTCAGGCCCAGGGCAGTGGAGCTTGGGCGTCAACTTTGTTTCACCTTCTCAGGGTGATGGGGCTCAGGAAGGCTTAAGCTTTGGTCCCCACTCCCAGGTCATGTAGTAATTTTGGCTGGAATGGGCATCAGAAAGGGGGTCATGGTGCTTCTGGTTTTTTTTTTTTTTTTTTT